CTTTAAAAAGAGCACATCACATTCATTAAAGGGTGACGGTCGTCGCGCAGCGCATGTGCGACATTTGTGTTGATAAACATGATTTTTCCGAAATGCCATTGCGCTTTGATCGGGCGATCCTTGCACTAATAACCGCCTGTGACTCCTTCGATACCTCCCAATCACCTATAAAACACCTGCGCAACAATCAAAGTCGCCATTTCTGTGCAAGAGTTCTTTGTATTTATGTTGGTGATCGTCGCGGAAGTACTATGAGGGATTGCATGATGGGAGTAAAATAAGTTTAGAAAAGTGAAAACTAGAGTGACTGTGAAATGAAGGATGGTTTTAAATATTAAATATTGAACTGGTATGAAAGGGCAGTAAATGTAGCCAGAATGCAAGGTCAGACTCCGGATGTCAAAATTCGTCACAATACATCAATCATGGAAGCGGTAATAGCCTTGATTTACTATTTGCGTGAATGGCAAATTCTGTGCAATGGAAATTAATACAAGAAATGCTGACTAAAGACAGTTCCTTTCAGTAAACAGAGCAACCTTGGGACGTTTATCTTGGTAACTTGAAGACGAAAATCCCTTGGGACAGTCGTTCGCGTGAAACAATGGACATACTTTTCCAAGATATCAATATCATTGGCCAGAGTTAATTACCCCGTACATTAATGAAGTGTTTTGCCAGTATGTTTGTTATTATTTGTGTTCTAGTTTTTGACTCAAGCAATGTATTGTGCACGTTCCAAATATGAATACCAGCCTTTATTGTACCATACACTGTATGCATCACATCACATGTCCCAGTACTACGTGGTATGCCAGTCTAGATGACAATTATGATAAATTAGACTATAAAGCTATAAACATTGTATCAAAATGTTATGTATTAATTTCTTTTCTCTATCAGATATGTAATGAGATTTTATTACCTTGCTCGTATCATCGTAGATGTTATCATGATATGATATAACATGGCGATAAAACAGTTTTTATTCAAGTTCAAACTTATAAAAAGTAACAATAGTTTAAAAAAAAGGGTTCGACTCAAGTGCAAATAGGAAAAATATCTGTATACAAGACCAAAATCACAGAAAATGCGATGTAAAAATTAAGAAACGAGCAGTATGTTGTTATCTTGTACCGTAATCCTTGAGGTTCGCTTGACAAAATTGGATTTTAATAGATGGCGCCCCTTTTTTCACTTCACCGCCGCGATGATTGTGTTAATGTACAACTTCAGCATGGAGCGTATATGCATTTCAGTATCCACATTTCAGCAATGTCCGTTATAAATTGTTATCAATACAGGAAATGTTTTATTAAAAAGAAAAATCGGAGAAAAAAAGATCGACAGTTCACTCAAACACAATATTAGCAGAAGTAGAAATAAATGACAGAAGATATTTATACTGCTGATAATGGAATCAGATTGGATCAGGTGCATTGAGATTAATACGGTACATCTAGTATCATATGAGGAACATAAATATTAATTATTTTTTATAATAACTATGTCGAATATTTAGCCTGTTTTCTGGGTAAAATGCTTAGATAATATATTTTATCATTGTTTTAGGTCTTTTGTACTAATTTTTACCAGGCAAAGAACAGAGATGTTACATTATTAGTTTGTTGTCCATCTATACATATGACATAACATCTAGGTTCTCAATGAACAAAATTTAGATTTACTTCTAAGTATCGAAGCCCCGACTTTCAAATGGCTAAGCCCTGAGTGTACTATTTGCCACATGTGACCCAACCCGTTAAATGCTAACAGACACGCCATCACACCAATACAGTGCCACCAGACTCGACAATACAATCTAAATTACGTCATTTCTATATCATGACAATTAATTTAATTTATCCGATAAAATTACATCGAAATAATTGAATTAGAGTAATGTGTTGTGATGAGAACCACCCCGTAAAATCCGTATTGCCATTTCCTTAATTCAGCCGGCATCACGTGCTACTTCGGCATGTGACCCGACTGTATATCATAACAAACCATGTGACGTGTTTTACCTTTGTTTCGTTAGTTCCTCTTTTGCCGAGACATAAATACATAATCATCATGTGAATATCGGACCATTAGACGTTGAGCCGTTTCTCAAGGTGTATATGGCGGAAGATGACAGCGTCTCTCCTTATATACGTCACTAGTATTCTGGCTTTTACGAGACCCGTTCAGACTAGTAAGTATCGCGTTACGATTTGTAAATCTCGTAAATCTGCGTATTAATTAATTAATTTATTAATATTGAATTAATTTTACGATACATGTACTATGCATAATAATGAAGACATATTTCACATGCCATGATTTCGACATGGCCCAATCGTATTATGTTTACAGGCTGGAATACATACGTAGCTGAGCTAGAACGATTGCAGAACAACAGTTCATCGTCAGAACTCCTTAAAAATGTTCGATCGGTACGTATTTTTTTAATACACCCACCCATACCCATACATACACCCATAATCTCTTTAAATATTCTGAAATTCGCACAATTTGTATCATTTATCTATAGATTCCCATGAATGCCGGCTTGTACTAATAGTATGTAGGTCACCTAGTGAAGTCGTGTTGTTATTTATAAACACCAATGACCTTGACCTGAAAATTAGGTCACTGCTGCCACGCATCAATGGCGCATTGCTTTACTGGGTTCTTTGTTTCGTTTGTCTTGATGGTACCATGACAATAGTCGACTGGAAACACAGTGCTGGGTGTATATGGATAGGGACACAGGTAATACAAACATGCTAGTGCCCATTTAATAGCACAGAACAAACCATAACTAAATTATTTATCTGTTAAACTTGACAGACCAACAAACCAAGTGGCTTGAAAGATTTCCCATGCAATGTAGGTATTGTGAAAGGAGAGAAAGTAGCAGATTCAGGTATTGAACAAAATATTTATTTTAACATGCCATTTTAAATGGTGGCGGTCGTCAAATCAATTTCGCCGTGGGTTCCATAGTGATGTTTTCAATGATTCTAAAACACTTTGTGCATACGATCGACATTCAAACATGTCTTACACGACAATATCAATTTTTCCTCACACAGAAGTTTGTTTTCGTGAGCGTTTCATGGATTTACTACATAAGAGAAAATGGCGTTTTTATACTGTTTTGAACAGCAAAACATTGTTATTTATTTATACCTGGTAGGTATTATTGCCTGCTTACGTGTGTTTGTTTGTATTACTTCTAGTTCATTCACTGCGGCCCGGTGATGTAAAGGTTGTCGGCGCAATCGGAGATTCTCTCACAGTATGTATTCTGTTAAATTAGGTGTTGTCTTTACTGGGAATGCGTTTGCGAATAAATCAGAATAATAATATCATGCTTTCCACAAGGCTGTCAATTTTATCAACTTGTTAAAAAAAGCTAGTTTAAAATTAAATCGAAATGAGATGCTATTCTGCATATATCGCTCACAGGTGACAGCCGAAGGTGGCATCAACTCATTTGTCTTTTTTTTTTGTTAGCACACAGCTTTGTTCAGTTTGTTGAAAGATAATATTGATTTTGAATTACTTAATAATAATACAAATAGAATTTCAGATTTCAGATTAGATCGCCCCTCGAAAAAAATGTTGGGAGGGCGTCGCCCCTCCAAAATAAAGCTGAAACCTTTTGTGTCAGCAAAATTTGTCCCTCAATATGCAGGAAATAGCGTGACAGAGGGTTTCAAAATCTTTAAGGGGGAGAATGCCCGGACCCCCTAGTAAGATCGCGTCTTCGGGGCAAGGTCGGTGAGCAGATCTCGCCCATCATGCAAGATTTCGTGCCGTCGCCTCTGATCAAAGGTCGTGACAATGTCAGACATGGTTTCACTTCTGCACAAGTAACACTACAAGTCTTTGTTGTACCATAAGGAAGTGTGCATGTATGGAAATCCCGTGGAAAGGTTCAATTATGAACGGGAAATAAAAGTACGGCAACCCAGTTTCCCATACCCTGCATTAACACACGATTTACTATTTTATAGGCTGGTAATGGAGCTCGTGCATCAGTACTTCCACAATGCTTGATTGAATACAGGGGATCATCATTTAGGTAACCATGGTAACATTCAATCACCACGATCCTAACTTCTGTTATTTTTAAAGAAAATGGAAAGTTTACATCGGCAGAAAAATATAATACTGCATATGATTGTTTGAAACATTGAGTTGTTTAGGGCTCAACCATTTGAAATAACGAGAGGTGTCTAGAAGACTGTGACCATTGCATTTGTTTTCGCGGTGTCATGCCTGTACATTTTAATTTTGTTAGTGTGCCAATTTATTGTTCCAGCAACAACGGGCATGTACTTTTCCCTCTCTCAATGTCTAGCTTGCAACTAGTTTTTCAACAAATCCTTCAGCCACCCCATGATTTTAAACGGTCAACCCCTAATAGGGTTGCTATAATCATGCTTTTATTTGTCTTCCATCTTATAGTGTTGGTGGAGCTAATGTTCTCGAAAAACAAATAACTTTTCCAAGTGAGTATGTTCTAAAATCAAATTAAAAAATAACTTATTAAGAAAGAATATCTTACAATCACAAATATAGTATACCTCTATATATCATGCGATTTGCATCTAATTCGTGTTTTTATTAGAAGCTAGATTAATGAAAAATTACAAGGAGAAACAAATATCATCTTGGAAAATAATTAAAACCAAATCTTATATATCTTATGTTATTGTTACTGATTTCTTCTTATATATTACCATTTTGCTGCCTTGTATTATTTAAATAAATAAATAAATTAATTAATTGTATTCTTTTTATAGATATCTTAAAAAAGTACAATCCAAATGTGGTAGGTTTCTCAAAAGGAACGAGTATGAAATGGTTTAATGATGAGGACAAGTCTCAGTTCAATGTTGCCGTAGCCGGAGCAGATGCTAAGTAAGAAATAATATCTATTTTGTGACTCCTACACCTACTAAAATAAAAAAAAGATGAATTTTTATAGTTGAATCTTGAATGTGTTCATTAGTTTGTTCAACAGTTATTCTAATTAGTCTTAAAGAAGTGTGTCATATTATAAAGAGTCGTTGTTATGTATTCTATATGTTACCTTACAGAGATATTTTAGGACAAGCCCGTGTATTAATAAAGAGAATGAAATCACATCATGCAGTGGATTTTGTTAATGATTGGAAAATTGTTACAGTATTAATTGGTGGTAATGACCTTTGTGATTGGTGCGATGACAAAGAAATATTCAAGCCAGAACGTTATATTTCTCACATCAGAGAGACACTGGATCTTTTACACTCGGAGGTGAGTACAAGGAACTGTAATGAGAAGGGAAGTAGGTACTATTTAAACATATTTCTGCTTTCGTTGATTTAATAAAAACGCCCTTTCATATAAACATACTGGTACATTGGTTTACAATGTGCACATATATTAGCTATAAGTGTAATCATGTATAAATACAAAGTATAGGCATATATTCATGTATTGGTTTAGTGTGGACATATTGGCTTAAAATTAAATATAAAAATATATTTACTAAAAATATATATTTGGTTAAAATGTGAGCATGCATTGGATTATAATATAATCAAAATTCACGAACATTTAATCATGAAACACGAGGGTTGAACTCGTAATTTGGCAACTACGTCTCGCTACTGAAAGCAAACGCACTGCCCGCTACGCCCCAATTATAAGGCAGCCTGATATGCTAGTGTGTAGTGAATGTGCTCTTACAATGACTATTTAGGCATGCTAATTTCGAATCTCTGACGTCACAAAAACGTGTAGAATACTGCACACAAATAAAGCCCAGTATTATAACTGTAATTACATATTTGATCATAATGTATACATCTTCTGTATATTTTCTAGATGCCTAGAACATTTGTAAATCTGTTGTTGGCACCTAATGTGATTGAATTAGCAAAACTGAGTGGAATCTCCTGTAAAGTGGTACACCAGTAAGTATTTAACTTTGCCTTTTTACATTCAATGTAGCCCATATTAATACTACATCTGTGTTCTTTTGTACAGTACATTGAATGCCATATCATACTGAACTTTTAAATTTAGTTTAATATTTTCCAAACTCAGCAATATCTTATATTATTTGTCATTATTAGTTTCTTATGTGAGTGTGCATCCTTTGGAAATGAAGTCAAGTTAATGCCCATTTTGCAACAATATCGGGTATGTACATTACCAATGTCTTCTATTTTATCGCAAACAGCATAACTTACTGTGTCTGTCACATGATTGTTTTGTTTTATTATTTAACATTTACTATCACGTTTTCTACATTGTATTGTTACAGTATTGTATTGTATTGTACGTTTTGTATTTTTCATTTATTAACCATCTAGTTCATTTAGTTTGAACAAAAACATTGGCACTAGTAAGCACAGCCTTAAACTAGCGCATTGGTTTGTACCTATCAATGGCGACCTCAGGAGGTTACCTTTCTAATTCTACAGATATCAGTGTTAACAGTAGCCGTCCTGTAGTTACATTTTACCAGGTTCGCACTGAGACCATTACTAAATCAGAGTAGCATTTAAAGCCAGTCTGACACGTGTTTATAGCACCCAACGTAGCGATATAATAGACAGTATCTATTACCGCGAGTAAGAATTGAATGACATAGTGTCGACCCCAGCTTGTAAAACACAATAACATGTAGTTTTATCTTTATACTTTTTTACAGGTTTTAACTAAAGAGTTAGTGGCTAGTGGTAGATATGACACAAAAGATGACTTCACCGTTGTATTACAACCGTTCCTTGAAAAGACAACTATCCCAACAAAAAAGGTATTATAATAGCTCTATTTAGGATGTGGGTTGGGTGAGTTGGGTTGGAGGGAGAGATTGTAGTTTGGATATAGCTATTAATTTTCTGTAGATTTCATTTACGATAATTTAATTAATTTAATATATCTGGTTTCTAATTAAATGATTAAAACCGAAAAATTAAAATAAAATTAATTTGGACATTGTTTTGTATATTGTATTTTATTAAATAAGCCAATTAAAGATACAAAATATTTCCATATAGTGTCACTTTGCACCTACATCAATAATTATAACAATTGAAAAGAATGAGCATTTTCAAATACTTCTTATTACAATCTTTCAACATTCACTCTCTTTTTTTATTTTTCAGTCTGGTGATGTTGATTATTCATACATTGCCCCAGACTGCTTTCACTTTAGTGTCAAAGGTCATGAACAGGCGTCCAAAGCTCTGTGGCATAACATGGTATGATGTTTCTATGTATAAGTCATCATAACTGCAGTATTTAAAGTACAATCATATAAAAATTATATCTTTTGATTATAATGATGTACTTTTCATTGATCATGGTGTAATTTTATTTTATAGCTTGAGCCTGTTGGAAATAAAAGTACATTATGGATGCCTGGTGAGCCGCTGCGTTGTCCAACTCAGGTTAGTTTATATATCCTGCAATGACAAATATACATGAATACATATGTGTAGAATTTCCATGATTCATGTGTAGACATGCATGATCGCTAACAGCTGTACTGTCAAAAGGGAGCTAACTTAATCCCCTACAGATTGATAGACAGAAAGAAAATAATGTATATTGTCCGCATGTAGAGGTAACTTATGATATGTCTCTGTCGGGTCTTTATTTACTGTCACTTGTAGGAGGAATGCAATATAGTATACAAGAAAAGTTTACTCAGTTTTTTGAAAATTCTGTTTATTTTACTAATTACAAATGTTCATCAAAATTCTACATTTTTATTTGTTAGGCAATAATTTGGCAAATAATATTATATTGGACAATGCATCAATATTAGTGTCCATCTCAACACAAACTAATCTACATATGTTCACACCAACATAAACTAATATACATATGTCCACATCAGAATAAACTAATCTACATATCTTCACACCAACATAAACTAATCTACATATGTTCACACCAACTAAAACTAATCTACATATGTTCACACCAACATGGTGACTTTAATTATGATGTTCTATCTAATTGTACTCACTACTTGTTTAATTGCTTAGCTGATTTAGGCTTTTCTCAAATTATTAATGGTGTTACGAGGCCTGCGTCCGGTAAATGTCTGGACCATGTTTATGTAAATCATAATGAAAACGTTAATTTGGCTCTCATTCACAACTTGGGTATTTCGGACCATAACCCTATATTCGTGGTTCGCAAACTCCGTTCCTTCCCTCAGTCAAACAATCATGTTTCTATTCGTTATAGAAATTTCAAAGTGTTCGTTGAGTCTCTATTTTTGGCTGACTTTCGGAACACGCCTCTAATTTCCGTTCACA